GAAAACATTGAGATTTAAAATCATGTTATAAGCCTTATCGAAAATCTAGGTATATAAAATTTGTGTAAAGTAGGGTCTTACGTGACTGGAAAGAGTGGTGGGTGTTGGTTGGTCCGCCTTACTGACCGTGTTAGAGTCCGTCGATAAAGGATTTACAGCAGGTGGCTGAACAGATCGAGGACTCTTCTTCGATTTTTTCTGAAAATAGAAGTGAATCAGCTATGGACAAAGAAAATAAAAATTGAATAAGGCAATAAGAAATCGAGAAAAAACCTTCAATTTTTTCGAAGATGAGGTAATAGTGACAGAATGCTTGCGTTTCTTAGTGGGGGCCGAAGGATCCGACTCGTCCGAGGACTCCCAGTCCTTCTCGGGGGCAACAGTTGTAGAAGGCTTCGAAACTATTGAAAAAAGGAAAACCGTTAGATTACAATTTGAAAAAGATTGAAAACATTCTTAAAAGAGGCAATAAAAATCTCACCAAAGGGTGATGGAGTCAAAATCTTGACTCGGTCGATATGAACAAGTCAGGAAGGAAGAAGAGATTGAGGGAGATTTAGGTAAGGGAAGTAGGATAATTTCGATATCGAAATTTCTTTGTTTTTAGGTTTAGGGTAAAGAGTTTCTTTCGAGGATCTTAACTCTCGAACCCATTTGGGATGAGTTAAATGTTTGGCTAGTCCAAAAGGAGTTGAAGGGAAAGTGGGAAGATGGTTAGGATAATACATTTCAAATGGGGTTTTGCCTCGAGGATTGACTATTTTGTGGTTCGATCGGTTAGTGTCTGTTTTATTGACTAAGGAAATAACAGCATCATAGAAGGTCGATTCTAATTTCAAGGGGTTGTAGCATACTCGATAAAAATTTTCGAATCGAGATATTTGGAGATAGTGAGAGTATGTACCTTTCTTCGCCTCGACTTGTCCTGCAGCACGAGAGAAGGATGAGCAGTCAATTTTGATTGGACTAGGTCAAAATCAGAATGATTATTTGAAAACCAATCGGTCCACCACTGAGAGAAACCAAGAGTAGATAAATAATTGGATTCAAAAATATAAGGGTAAAAATGCATCGGGTTTTTTGGCAGCAGTTTGGCGAGCTCCCGTCCAACAGTCGATTCACTTAATTTGGACCTTGAGGAGGTATCGATGGGAAAAAAGGGTAAGGCTTGACTCAAACCAAATTGTCGCGAGAAAAGCTGGGGGTAATAAGTGATGAGTTGAAGATCCTTCGATTGGAAACTCGATACCAAAACATCTTGGGCTAGGTAATTATTCCAGACTTCGACCAATTCCGATTGTAGCCCGGGAGTAAGAACAGGAAATTTCGATCTAAACCATGTTGGCCCTCGAAGTTTGTCACTTATTTGTCCAAGATACACAATGAAAGGGGCCAAACTCGAATAAAAATGAAAGCGGGTCAACAAAAATTGTAAGTAATTTCGGTAACTAGCCTCGTCGGGTTTGTGGTGAGGGTGTCGAGAGGACAATCGAGCACCTTCCAAATTTAAACTTGGGGGAATGTTGGAGGTTGGGGGGAGAATACTTTCAAAAATTGAAGTGAGCCATAACTGAATAAACCAAATAGGTCCTGAAAAATTCTTCGAAACCCTGGGGGTATTCAAAATTTCGACGGCTTCATCGAAAGAGGTATAAACATGGGCCAATAAAAGTTTTGCCAAACAAATCCTAGGTTGGCTAGTATGGAGAAGATAGACAAGGTTATAGAGGTGGGATGAAATTTGGATGGATCGGGGGCAAAAGACATGGGTACATAACCAATACACCAGAAAGGCTATATGCTCCTCATCAGTCACAGCTACTGATTGATCATCGACGAAGTGCTTTTCGAGAAAATGCCCATAGGCCTTCGATTCCCAATCGATTTTCGACCTTAAAGAGTTATCCGAAGGGAAAGCCCCCTTATAGTATTTTTCCCCCGTGGGCTTTAATCCAGTAATAGCAGCAATTTCGAAAAGGGTGGGCGAAAAGGGGCCACATGGAAGTTCCAATGCATGTAAGTCCTTATTCCATAAATGAACGGCAGATAAAAACATGGACATGTCCAGAAAAGACAGATCACATCGAGACAAATGTAGGAAATCGAAGATCCCTACGTCTCTCCAATGGTTCCCAAACTTAGTTTTAACCCGGTCAAACCACCTAATGTACAAGGGTTTTTTGTGAGGGGGACCTGTTCGATACACTCTGGAGACAATGTTCAAAAAATCAGTTCGCACCTCAGGCTTGTGAACAAGAGCTTTACTCTCTGAAAGACTGAGGGAAGAAGGAAATGATCCGTCACAATAGCGGATAGGACCTCCAAAAGCGTAATTTACATTATCAGTAATGTAAGGAATGAGTACCTGTGTCTCAACAATCTTTTGAGAAGCTTCTTCCATCAGGGGGACTGGAGCAAATTTCTATCCGTTAATCTCTAACAGGCTGGAGGTCACCGAGGGAAGTGGTGGGGCAGAAAAATCAGAGGATTTGGATGAGGTTGCCATTACAATCGGTAGAGCAGATGAAGATGAAAGGTAGAAGACGAAGGTGCAAAGGAGAAATGAGTTAAGTTCGTGGTAAAAAACAAGGGTAAAAAGACTAACAAACGTTTAAAAGAAACCAACTAGGGTATTGGAAGCGACAGAGGCGAAGGGTAATTAATGTGGCGTGTGCAGTGTGACAACAGAGTGATTTGATGTGACATAAAGCAAAGAAACCCTAGAAAAACCCTAAACCTTAAAAGTTATTTTGGGTCTCCAAAACGTTTGAAGGCGGGAATCATTTTGTAAGAATATAAAATAAAAATTAATATTTATATTCTTCCAAGGGGGCATTTTGTTAGTAGGAAATCGATAAAGGGATCGAAAAACGAAGAAAAGAAAAATCGAGGATCATATGATTGGTTAAAAAACTGATAAAGTAAAAAGATGGTTGGAAAATATTCGATGACCGTGTAACAGTGTGGACACATAAATCGAGAATTAGAATTGAGAATCGAAGGAGGAATGTTTAATGTCTATTGTTGAAGAAAATCGAGGAATTAGAATCATGTAATGTTAAGGTTAAGGTAAAAAAAGCAATGCAAAGTTCTCGAGATTTTTGAAATCGAAATCGAGGAAAAAGTTAACATGCACGACCATCGAAATTCTGGCTAAGTTAGAAAGAGAGGAACAGTTAACGCGCACATAGAACATGGGAAGCGATTTCTAAACCGTGGCAGAGAACGAAGGTCAAGGGAGCGGTTATCTCATGCATGAGAACATGAAATACAGTTTTTAAACCGTGGAACTGAGAGACGTGCATGGTGGGTCGTGGTGGCAGTTTTGTTAACTGCTCTTAGGAGGTTATCTGAAGGGCGCCCTATAAATAGAGCAAAGCTTGAGGAAGAGCGGGGAAATTGGCAGAGAGAACTGAAACACTAGTGAAAAGTCTACCGGAGAACGACGAAATCATGAAGTTTCTGGCGATCTGGATTTCCGTTTTCATTGATTGTCTTTACCGCTTTTTGTACTTTCCCTGGTAATTTATGTTCATGCAATTTATTATGATGCAATTTACGTTTAAGCAACTTTAAGTTTCTACACTTTCAATTCCTAGTTCCTTTACTTTTACGTAAGTTAATGTTATGCGTTTAAGATCCTCGCCATTTACATTCCTGCAATTTCGATTTCCTATTATTTTCTTTCCTGCAATTTCGATTTTCCATTCTTTACTTTCCTGCAATTTCGATTCTTTTACACTTAATGCAATTTTGAGGTTTCTGCACTTTACATTTTTTCTGCACTTTAATATTCCGCACTACTTTTCGATTTCGACATTTCTTTTTCTTCGCATTTCTTAAGAAAACATCAAAAATATGTATTCTAGGTCATGCCGTTTTACACTATAAGATTTTCGATTCTCATGCACTTTTCGATTGAAAATTAGTTGCTAGCCTAAGTAAAAAGAATCTACATGGTCGAGATTTGATTAGGACTCAACTCCCCATAAATCGAAATCAATCAAATTTTCACCAGAAACAACATTATACAAATTTTCATTTAATAATCAAATTATGACCACTTAACATAATTTTGTAAATCTTACTTAAACTTATTTAGTAATACTTAAAATATTATTCTCTTCGACGACATAATAAAAAATTCAAGCAACTAATATTGTAAAAAACATTATTTATATAAACAATAATTTAGTTTATTACTTAAAACAAATATTTTAAGAAAATAATTTTCAAAACTTCAGTAATTTAAGAAATTTATAAAATTAGTTTATTAAAATAAATTGAAAAATGATTATTTTGAAAATAATCGTGGTAGACAACTACATTAAAAAAAAAGAAATATACCTATTTTATTAAAAACACTAATTATATTTTAAAAATACAAACAAACCCACCTAATGTCATATCAAACATTCGAGTGATAAATTTTGTTAGGTAACATTATTGTTCAACTGAAAACGATATTTCCAAAATTTGTATTTAAATTATAATAAATAATATTTTTATAGTAAGCATATTTCCATTATTGAGAAAAAAATAAATAAATTCTTGCTGTGCAATAGATTATGTTATTCTCTTGCTCGATTATAAATCGATATGAATAATAAAATTATCAATTTTTATATGAAACATTTAAAAAACGATATGTTGCATGATTTGTTATATAAAGACTAAACTCTAAATATTATTATAATAACAAATTGGTTTTGAAGTAACTCCAATTAAAGTCAACATGCTTAGTTTGAAGTTCCTAACTATCCATCAAGAGCAATCTCTCCACCCTTAATAAAATAAAAAGCATATCAAAGTGAAGAGAAAAGGAAGCTTCATCTTGAATTAGTGACCAATAAAGGACTATTTTCTTCAAATTGAACCTTCATTATAATTTATACGTACACCGGAATAATGGAATCAACGTGTCTTTTTTTATTTTTTATCTTTATCTCACTTGTATAAAACTTAAAACTATTTACTCCACATATTATGAATTTTTAACACTAGGAAGAATAAATGACCCAATGTTGACCATCAACTTTTACCTTCAGATTGTGAACTTTGGCAAACAAATCAACGGCTCTCCGGACCCCTCTGTTGTCCGCAGCAGTGAAATAATCGTGTCCGAAAATAACCCCTCCCGGTCGGAGGATCCGAAATCCTCGGTTTATATCAGCCCAAGCAGATAAAAAATCGTGACCCGCATCAATCTCAACTAAATCCGCGTAGACACCCCACTCGCAAAACAATATCAGGGTTGACCCGCTTGAAAATGGAACGGGTAAAATCGACCCGCTGTGGTTAAAAGTGACCACGTTCTGAAGAAATTGGTAAAAGAGCCAAACGTCGCCGTTTTCCATCGGTATGCTCATGAATCGGTCTTTGAACCCGGCCCAGCCGCGAAAGTCGTCCACGCAGAGTATCTGAGTTTGGAGTCCGAGCCGGCGAGTCAATTCGGCCATGTGAATCGCCGACGCGCCGAGGAAGGTGCCTACTTCCACGACTATCCGCGGCCGCACGCGGCGGATGAGGTTCTCGAACACGGCACCGGTGGAGCCCCATCCCTTCACTCTCGTAGTCCGCCGCAGCTTCGCCGCCGCGTGCGGCGGGGGGAAGTTTTCAAACGGCGAGGTGCTGTTGAAGAGACGGTCAACGAGCTTCCGGCGGACGGCCTCCGGGGGAATTGGGTCCGCACAGCGAGTGGTGACTCGGAACGGGTTCAACTCAGTGGTGTTAATTGAGAAATTAATAACAGGTTCTGGTAATTGTGGTGGTATTGACGAGGGTGAGAGTGGCGTTGAAGTGGAAGAAGGGTGGTGGGATAAGTAACCTAAGGTGTAGGTTAGCAGAAGGAGGATAAAATAAGCGGCGGGTTTTGCTGTTTTGATGATCTTACGTTGTAGCGAAGGTGAAAGTCTTCTGTTGGCGTGGTGTTGCTCTGTTTTCATGTTTGGTCGGAGAATTAGGTTGTATGAGAAACCGTTGGTTGTTAGGTTTTGGATATCATAGGAATTCTTGGAGTTCCCTTATATGTGTTTTGGTTTGGACATGAGTGCCGACAACTACTGACCACAAAAACAAAGAAGAAGAAGAAGAAGAAGGACATTTCTTGTAATGTTACGATTGTGGAATTTCATTTCGTTGCGTAATTTAATGTAATTTAATTTAAATTATCCTTGTCATTGCCGCTTCTACTACCTACAGTAGAGTTCTTTGACCATTCATATTCAAGTGTGTGCTGCTACAATTAATGACTGGGTCACTGCGTTTTAATTTTGCATTTGCTTTCAGTGAATTATCACTTCTTCATTTTTTATTTTATTTTTTTAAATTTTGGTTTTTAGTCAAATTTACAGTATAAAATATCAGTGTCAACGTCATTGGTATCCGATAATTAATGTATAATATATGTTTTTTATTGTTTTGATTAGACAGTTGAAAGTACAATCTCATTCCTTCTATCCTATGATAATAACTAATATTAGGATCTTAACATATATGCTATTTTAATGTTTTTTTTTCTGCTAATAAGTTCTAATTTTTTTTAGTATTTTTTTAAGGTAGATATTTCAAAAATCAATCGATTTAAGGCATATAAATTTTGTGATTAAATGATAGTCAGTTTTTATTCTAATATTATACTTTTTTTTCGTTATATTTAAATCATATATATATATATATATATATATATACTAAGAAATATCAATATTATTTTTATTAATTTTAAATTGTTTCTATACAAATTTTCTATTAAAATTAATGTGTAGTATACTAAAAACTTAACAATCTTCATATATCCCTAGACAGATAATAATTATGTTGTCGTAAATAACAAAAGTTTTATTTTAAAAATAAATTGAAAATAAGTAATTAAATGATTTTTAATCTATCAAAAATATAATTTTGTTCTCACTAATACTATATATATATATATATATATATATATATATATATATATATAAAAAGGCAGGGATAAATATAGGTGCTTGATGTAGAAGTTCCGTTAAAGTTTATGCATAGTCTTCTCTTTCTTTTTGTTCTTTTTTTTTTTTTCTGACTTTTGGGATGAGTTTATAAATAAAGTAGTTTAAATTCTATAATATTTGTATACCCTTTTGGATTAAGTTATACTTTCTTTTATAGAATTGAACAGCATTTTTTTTTCTTATAAAAGATCGAGATCATATTTATGTATTTTCTTAATTTAATTTGATTTATTTCTAGGTTGGGTATTAAATTTCTTGATTATAAGTTTGAGATGGAAGGATTATGTATTTTCGTGATTTATGTTATTTTTTCTTCCTTATATGATATCAGATTTTAAGTTTGATACCATCGTTAAGAGATTAGATTAAGACTAATCTCATATATAATATTCTTTTAAGACATTAAATATCATGAAATTATGAGAAAGAAATACACAATAATCAGAAAATTCTCGAAGATCTCGGGAGATAAAAGAAAGAGATAGTTATATCCCTGAAATCCTAACAATCATCTTTTTCTCTTATCCCGTGGCGTTTTAAAAGCAATGTTTGCATTTCATCTTTATAATTTTAATTTAAATGAAGATTTGGAAGATTGAGTAGATTTATATACAAAACATGTATGTTAGGGACGAAACAAATAAGACAAAATGGGAATATTTTTAAGATTTGGCAACATTGAATGCAATTATACAAAATGGGAATATTGTTATGTTTAAGAAATTAGCATAAGTTATGCACTAGGAATATGTTGTATCATAGTATTTTATTATATTGTCACATCATAATATAAATTGAATGGTTTGAAGGATTAATATTATGATTTTATAAGACGATAAAACATGTTTAGAGATTTATATAAAACCTACTATTGAGTAGAGTATATATTTTTTTGTTTCCATACGCAAGATAGAATAATAATAAATGAGATTGATGAAGAAAGCAAAAACGTAAAATATATCATTATATAAATAAATTATAAAGATTATATTTTGTCATTAAGTTATAATCCATATAAAGAGCTACATTCACAAATTTGACATCAAATTTTGAAAATTCACTCGACACACACTTTTCATCCTCGACGCGTACTCACATCCAACATATAAATATATAAATATATTTGTATTTATATATTTTATATTTATATATTTACATGGATATACATTTTTATTTGTATATAAATATAATTTATGTATAAGTTATTATCGAGAAAATCCTAGAAGCTAAATGGTTGAGAGATCGACCTTCGATCTCTAAGGTAATAGATAGGATAATTGAGAGAGCGTTATGAATAAATAAAAATATTAGACTTTCTACATCGGTTCGCTTACAACCGATGTGGAAAGTCACACTTTCTACATCGGTCTTATTTTGTACTAGTGTTAAGAGATTAGATTAAGACTAATCTCATATATAATATTCTTTTAAGACATTAAATATCATGAAATTATGAGAAAGAAATACACAAGAAAATTCTCGAAGATCTCGGGAGATAAAAGAAAGAGATAGTTATATCCCTGAAATCCTAACAATCATCTTTTTTCTCTTATCCCGTGGCGTTTTAAAAGCAATGTTTGCATTTCATCTTTATAATTTTAATTTAAATGAAGATTTGGAAGATTGAGTAGATTTATATACAAAACATGTATGTTAGGGACGAAACAAATAAGACAAAATGGGAATATTTTTAAGATTTGGCAACATTGAATGCAATTATACAAAATGGGAATATTGTTTGTTTAAGAAATTAGCATAAGTTATGCACTAGGAATATGTTGTATCATAGTATTTTATTATATTGTCACATCATAATATAAATTGAATGGTTTGAAGGATTAATATTATGATTTTATAAGACGATAAAACATGTTTAGAGATTTATATAAAACCTACTATTGAGTAGAGTATATATTTTTTTTGTTTCCATACGCAAGATAGAATAATAATAAATGAGATTGATGAAGAAAGCAAAAACGTAAAATACAAACTTTAGTACCTAACGAAAGTGAAAGAAATGAATAGGTTACATAATAAGTATAAACAAGTCAAATGGCAATGAAAATGGAGTACAAAATAAGGATTTGGAATCTTATAGCACCTCTCATTCTCCACCAATATAAAACTTATTCTCCAGCTCATATTCCAATCCGCAAGTAATCACCGAAAGAATTGAAACGTGTGAATATGAAAAAAAGAAAGGGGGAGAAGAAAAAAAACACTTAATCACCATCACAATTTTGCATGTATAAGATTGTCCCCATGTAGTACTGTGAAGGTAATAAATTTCTATGAATCTCAACAACTCATAAAACTTGTATTTCTGTTTGTACATAAGCGATTTTAAAATTAATTATGAAAATATGATGGTTTGATGTATGAGTTAAATATTTGTAAACTTGTGTACCAACAAATTATAATTGATGGAGACATTTATTTTATTTTCTATAAAAAAATGTATTTGGAGGATTCCACTTTACTTGATCATGAAGTTACATCAATCGAAATCAAATAACTAAGTTCAGAATCATTTATTTAAAATCTAAGTCAACAGCTTCTAGCACCAAGAACACATGAGTAAGAAAATTGCATCCTAACTGTCGTTAGAATCCCCGTTAGAGGAGATGACAAATTTAAGAAAAAGGTGGAAGATATGTTTTCTTATGATATCTCCACATTGCTCTTTTCTTTTGGAGTCACGATGGACCACTCCATCCTCCTCCTTCTACTTCGAGTGCATCCACATTCTATATTAATTCATTCAACCATGCATGTCTCATGGCTATTCAATTCCAATTGTCGCATTTCAAAACTTCTACCCTCACTATTCGATTATACAACAATGTAAAAAAGAAATAATAAAGATGAGAATAGTAAATTGAAAAAAAAAAAAAAAACTTAACATCCCAATTTTTTCAAACATTATAGGCAACCTTAATGATTTTTTCAAATCCACCACGTGTCCCGAGATGTACCTTAGAACCACTACGACAAGAGACATGATTTAACCCCTAAAAATTTGCATGCCTACAATTTTGGCCACAAAACGGTCGAACTTAATGTCATTTTCTACTTGCAAGGTAAACCTAATCACATTTGAAAACTACATTGATCATTAAGTTACCAAAATAGAGATCTACGTTATCATAAAAACGACAAGTTTGACGACGAAATTGTGCACATACAATGTTCCTGAACTGGGAGTTTTAGTCCTTAAGAGTAGAGTCTGATGTAAAATCAGACCGTGAATTAATCCACTGCATTTCCTGCTACAATTGATGCCTATAATCCGGTATAATTGAACCAAAAGCAAACGTTTTGTTTAAATGACATGAGCACAGCAAACTGCAAAGCAAAACTGTTAAAAAAGCAGCAAGCAATTTAGGTAATCATAAAATACCACATGCTTGCACCTCTTCCAGTAACAAGTACAGTATGTTGTAGCACCAGCAGTTTCAGTTGATGCAAACTTGCTACGTGTTGGAATTCTAATAACACAACTACCTAATCTATCAAACAAGAGAAGCCCTTTAGTCCTTTGGTTGACCCATCAAAGGTCATGGTCATCAAATCACACTAGACCTACCTTTAAAAAAACCTACTATCAACAGTCATATATATATATATATATATATATATATATATATATATATATATATATATATATATACTGAAAAAAGCACAATAAAACATGTCACTTTGCTGCTTCCGACCCCTTCAGATAAGATTCACCATCTCCACTGTTGTGTGCAGCAGCAGAGCTGCCTTGCCCGTCTCCACCAGCTGTCCCAGCCTCAGACGCATCTTGCTTGCTTCCACCACGTGCATCATTTGGACCGGTAGCCGAAGGTGGACCACCGCTGTTGCCACCTCCAAGAGCCTCGCTGTGCATTGGATGCATGCCATTATTTATCCCTCCAGGTCTCAGTCCCATTTGACCTTGGATAGCCTGCTGGTGTAGCTGCTGCTGTTGATCCTGCATTTGATGTGGATTACCAAATTGTAATGGCATTTTCTGGGGGAACATTCCTTGCTGCTGAGCCATTGCTGCTGCTGCAGCCTGAGGATGTTGCATATAGAATCCTGGTTGCATGGCAGGGTGTGGCGCCATCTGCAAGGCAATAAAATCAAGATTACGGGCAACTGATAAGACTTCCAAGGAACCAGCTATGCTCTTATTTTACCTGTGGAGGCATGGCTGGGGTTTGAGGTTGGGCATCAGCAATTGCAGCTAGATACATCAAATTCTTTTGCAGCTGAGCTTGGTACCTAAGGCAGCAAACATCATCATCCATTACATAAAACTAGTGCAAAATATGCACTAAGACCTTCGAAGATAATTTCTAGGAAATAGATAAGGATCTAGAAAATATCATTATTCAGAAAAAGGACCACGATAAATTACATATGTTTGGAAGTAAATGATATTAGTGAGGAGTGAGGATAGTATATAAGCAACTATCAATAGCCTCACCCATTGTACATGTAAATGTTAAGATTAGGTAAAAGAGACAGTGAACTCATAAATTAACTCAGACCAACCATCAATGCTAACAAAAACATGCACATAGAATTTCAGAGGTCACACTTACTGGGCACATTCTGCAAGTTTTCCAAGATTTTGATTGTCCAATATTGCCAGAATCAGCTTCTTGTTCTCGTCAAGGTACTGCATCATGTTTTTGTTATAAGTTACTTGTATCATGACAGGGTTTCAAATTATATAATGACGATACTTGCAGCTTGCTTTGTTATAAGTTATTGTATCATTTGAATTGTGGAGTGAAAATTATGAAGAGGAAAAAAAAAAGCACAGATGAATTAAACAACATCATTTATGACAATACATTTATTAATGGATTCAAATACTTATAGTAAAGTCCCATATTTATGACCATACTTCTAAATTTTACAATCCTAAATAATGTAGTGTGATCCCAGATTCTGCTGCTTAGCCATCATGCGATTGTGATGACATATTGTAGTATAATAAATGAAACCAATTCTCCCAATATAATAAAATTATGCAATCCTATAAAGCTATACTCCAACCAACAAGCTCCTTTTTTCAGGTGATTTACTTTAAGACCCAAAATCTACTATGGTAAATCAACATGTATGTTCAAACTCATAATTATTTGCTGTTACCAAATTAAGTTAATTGGTTAAAAGATCAATGGGTTATAACTCCTGACAATGCTTGTTACTTTTCAACTGGTGAATCACTCAAATGCATGAGAAGGAGGAGATGCGTTACTACTCCTTTAATGCTAAACTGAAGTTATCTTCGTTGACTATCAACAAACAAGTCTAACATTGGTGTTTGACTTAAAATACTTTGAAAAACATATGAGCCAATTTGCTTTAAGAAATTGTTTTCCTTTTTCACTTTTTGTTTTCACTCATGATAAAACAATTACACCTTGTTTTCACTTGGTTTCCTATTCAAGGATTTGAGGGTTTTCATTGTTTACAGTATAAATATATTTAAAAACCTGAAACAACATAACAGAGAGGCATTGTTTATTAATAGAAAAGAGGGAACAAACACAGAAAATGTTTTCTCAAACCAACCAGGTCTAAAGATCTCCCAAAAAAACAGAGATAAAAAAATATCAGAAAATTGAAAGAAAACGTTTAATGAAATAATTAATATGGAGCAACGGACCTTACTCTCTACATGAATTTTAGATCATGTAGTCAACCCACTAAATAAGATATGGCTTTCAATTTATGAGCTTCAATTTCCTAACCCTTTAAAAAAAGAGTAAAAGGAAGAGCCTGTGCTGCAAATTACAACTTCATTATTTTGTAATTACTAATTGGTAATAGACTTTTTTTCAAAGAGGAAAACAATGAGCCCATCTAAAGTAGTAAATCAAAGAGATAATCAAAGCACAACTGGTGAAAGAAAATAGTTCTACTAGCATCTCCTTTGTTAACGGAAACTAAAAATGTTCCATGTAGAATAACAAAGTATATGGAAGATGTCTGTCATTAAGTTAGAGAACTTGCACAGGGCTCCAAGTAATAATAGGTTCTCAATGAGTGGTATAAGTTTATTAACCTAAATCGTAACTTGATGCAACCAGCATCAAGATAAACAAATATGGTTGCCAGTAATACTAGATACCAACTCGGTTACAGATGATGGCAGATATTGTACACACGTAGTTGTAGATGGAACTCAACCATTGAGTAAATCAACATTTTAAAGAAAATGTGGGTGGTTCTGCAGTTTTTGGTGAACAATGAATTATCCAAAACATGTCACTCCTTTGTCTTTATCATTCATTAGTTGTGAGCTTTTTATTGAAAAGAGCTACATGCTATTCTTATCTTCAATATAAGCAAATGATAAAATATTGAATTAACAATAATTACATAGCAGATTAGTACAAATCCAATTCATTCTCACTTTATATTGAAAAAGTGTTATTATTAGATAAAATGATAATAATAATAATAATAACAATAAGAGAACTTATAAAAATAAAAATTCAAACACACTTTTTATTATTAGCTAAAATTTATTGGACATTACAAAATTATACTCCTTTTCTAACTGACGGTTAGATATGATTTTATGCTTTACAATAAATTCCAACTAATAATAAAGAATGTGTTGCTACCATTCTTCTTCTTCTTCTAATAATAATAATAACAATAATAATAATAAAGCCATAACAAACCATGAAAACTAACTAAGTTCAGTAATCCATGAGAGAAACAGCGAGACTAGAACAGAAAAAAAGCAAACCTTTTGAATCTGCTCGGTGGTTATGTTAGTAGGTGGGAACGAAGGCATCATAGGAATCATTGGCGGTGTCTGCTGCATCTTCAATACTGAAACTATTGAAAAATGAAAAGGCAAAACCCTAATTCCCCATAATCGCAGCAGTCAACAGTTACCAAACCCCAACCCCGAAATGAAAAATGTTACACAAACCCTGAACTAAAAGGGGAAAAGACGAAAACTTTAGCAGAAAACGTGAGAAAGAGGACCTGGGTATGTTCGAAAAACAGGTGAGAGCCCGAGAGGTGAGTGTTGGACACGCACTCGAGAACTGGGGTTTGTCTCTGTGAAGATCCTGCCCGATCTTCTGGGGTATTGTGCAGCCGATGTTTCTAGAATTTGTAGACAAAACAACAAACGTAAAAACAAGGGGAATAGATTAAAGTTAGTTTAGCAGTGCTGAGCTCAAGAAAAAAAAAAAAAATTACCAAACGAAACAGAACTGAATAATAGTTAGATTTGGGGTCTTATTTGTTTCGGCTTGGTAGTTAGAAATCGCAAACTAAGAGAAGGATGAAGTGTTGGGTATTTATAGGTGGTCGCATTCCCCTGTTTGAGTTTGACTGTTGCTGCTGCGTTTGGAACCGGGTATTGTTGTACTGTTGCACCTCATAGCAGGAATGGGATTATGGGATAAGCACAACATGTTCTTTATTGTTTTTGTTTTTTTGGGAGAAGCGGGTCCGAGGTGAATTCAAGTACTTCTACCTTATTCAAAGCCCAATTTTATTTTTGCAGGAATTTACAGCCATATTAATTGGAGACACCTCTTTTCACTTTGTTCCTAGAATAATAACTGTTCTACAGCAATGCATTACTTTACTTTTCAAAAATCTCTCCTCCTTAAATTAAAATATATTTTTGTGGAGAAGATTGGGTTTTCAAATCTTATCGTGCCCATGATTTATAAATTAAAGTAATTAAAGGATATATTTTTCTTAATTTCATCATCCTTCAACCACGAATCAATACATTGAAAAATAAAACGCATTGTTCATGATAGATAATCTCCTATCTAAATTGTCAAAAAATAAAACAAAAAATTCTTAGTGCATGCCCAACAATTTTAAATTTTAGTTTTGTAATTGTCTAAAGTTTTGGTTTACGTATATATAAAAATTATATATTTTAAATCCTTTTTCTAAATAATTATAGAAACTAAAGGATAAAAGAATTCTTAGGAAAAGATTGGAATAGTTACCACGTGATATCCATGCGCCGTTGATACACTGTGTCAACATAAATTTTTTGACGTATCTAAGAATGAATATTATTTATTTATTTATTTGAAAATAAATAATAATAATAAAATAATTATGTCGTGTTTAAAAAGGATGAACGTATAATAAAAAATATTTTAGTGATTTTAAAATGAAGTTTAACTTATTTACAAAGACTAAAAATAATAATTCCAAATTAAAAATTATTTTTAAAATAACAAAAATCAAAACTTATTCTAAAAATATTTGATTAAACGAAATTAAGAGAAAACGTCCCTGGTTATGTTTATTTTGGCTGTATGAAAGTTGCAGCCACCATTATTCTATTTATAAAAAAGCTACGTCAACCTAATTTTTTTTTTCTTTCTCTTTTACCTACATTTTTAAATACTATTTCTTAACTCAACCATTTTATGAACATTAATATTCTTCTGTTTGACTAACCAAATTAAAATTATGTAACTCCCTCTTGGTTTCTAAGGATCTCAATTCCTTTAAAAAATTGACATCTAACATAAAGAAACAAAATTATAAATCCAATTAAGATTATTTTTTATAACTTGAGACTTTAAGTATCATTTTCCAAATATAAAAGAATTAAGATATATAGATAAATAAATATATCTGTAAACTTATTATCTATTGAAGTCTAAGAAGTTTATTCAATATAGTTTATTGATTAGAATAGAAGTTTATCTTCTTCATTCATCAGATTTTATCTTGTGTTGGGTTGTAACATTTTCATTCTACTATTTAATGCTTAATTTAATTTTGTAGGCCATTGACTCTCACCACTTTCCATAAGATATACACAAAATTCAAAGGAAAATTAGCTGCTTAACTCAGAAACCAGAAATGTTTAATGAAGAAGGTATTGAGAAAATGATCAACTCACAAAATATATTTATAATGAGAAAATATTGACTTAATAGTTAATCACCATATTCTGAGCTAGACATCTTTATACTCTTAAAACTTAAAAAAAAGAAAACATTTTCTTTTTCATATATCTCATTTGAAATAACTTTTTTTTTATCATTTAAGGATTTATAATAATTATTAAATATATTAATTATAACTACTTTAATAATTTTAAAGTAGAGTATTTCTACATCAAAAGAACCAAAATAGGAGTTTGAACCAGACGTGGGAGCACATTACTAAAGAAATCAGATATTAAATTAAAATAAAAAATACAAAATCTTAGTCATTGTTTTCCCTTTCTTTTTTGTTACGAAAGAGCTGTTCTTAACACGTTCATATTCATTTCAAGCACAAGTATTACTTTAAAAAATGTTATGCAAGGGACAAAAAATGCACAATCCTCGGTCACTAAATCTCTAGCACACATAATTTCAGATAATTTTTTTTCAGAAAAAAAGATGAAGAAGAACTTGAATGTAGTTAATGAATAATCATGCTGTATAAATACGTGGTTAGTTGGGATGTATATCCTCAAACATATGATAATAATATCTTGAAAATTAACTCGAAATAAACTTAACTAACTCAAAAAAATAGTCTCTAATTCTGAATTGGGAATATTGGGTTTTCCCAAAAACATGAAGCACAAGTTTAAGCTAAAAATTGAAACCAGGTCAGAACTGTCCCAGTAAGTTAGATTTGAGGAAACAACTGTCCCAGTAAGCTAGACTTGAAGAAACGCGTTGAAGAAAAGTCTTATATTAGTGAGATAGATATAAAATTAGAAATCTTAAAGATTATGACTATAACAAGTCCGAAGTAGAAAGATATTGTTACATTTGATTAACCAGAGAACCTTTAATTTTTTTTTTAATTATTGAAAATTGGTAAAACATATATCCTATATTTGGTTTATTCTTTTAAAAAAATATTATTCTTGTGAAGCAATGGTGGCTGCCCCTACTTCCTCAGCCATGCTTAAATGCATTCAACACTTCTTAATTACTTTCAGTGTATATGAAAACTACTTTGCCATATGCTCCTCCATTTGACTTAGAAAATGGAATGACTTTCAAACATATTCACGTTATCACGGAATGATTGGCTGAAATATTTTGTTATTCCGAGAAACTCCTCTGGTTTTCTCTTTAATTCGGTTTAAGAGTTTTTTTTTTTTTACTTTCGTAGTTGTGAAGGTGTCATGTAAATGGAGCCATCAACTTCGCTAATGATTAATATTTATATATAAAAAAATCTGATGTAATAAAATCTTTCTACCTTTAGAAGTTTCATATGATATAGACTAGTAGTAACTCCAAAAAAAAATTGAAATAAGTTGGTCTTTGAAATGGACCAGTAAAATTCTTGTTCTACTCTGTATTGCACATATGGTGTTTGATGGAATTTGATTATTGATATAGTTAGAGAAATAAGTGGAGGGTTTAGGTTGAAAGGTACTATTTAGAAGTAGACTTATAAAAAGTGACTAGTCAATTCTAATTGGATCACATAATCCGGGGAAGGCAACAACTCTCACTACTAAACTTGCCTAATCTTCCTTTCTTTTTTCCTTGTAGACCCTTTTTAAGAAGTTAACTTCTTTAAAACGAGACAAATTCTAAAATGACATAAGGAGGAACTCTTACAAAACCCTTTAGTTTTCAATTGGTACTTTCTTAATTTACAAAAATCTTCCCACGTCACATGTTGCCTAGATTTTCAGCATTTTCCAGTTTCCAATTCTTTTAATGACAAAGGATGTCACATTGAAACCGGAAATTTTGGTCCCAGATAAGAACTCCTCGTGTTGAGACTTGTGATATCTATTATTTTGAATTGTGGACAAGGAAAAGGAATAAAGTGAATGAAAACTTAAAAAAAGGAAAAGAAAAGATGGATCTGTCATTTGCTTATCCAAAGAAACTTTATCAGTTTGATTAATAATCGTGCACGCCTGAAACAGAAACGTACAGAAGAAGCACATGAGAGTTGAAGCCTGCAGAATCAGGTAGAAAGTAAAGCATCCAGATTAACATTTTGAATGGTTTCAAACAAAATGGTACTTGTGATTGAGTTTTCTAGTAATGAACTATTCCCAATATTGAACAAGTCAAATCAGAAAATATGGAGATAATTAATTTCAACCTGCACAGCCCAACTAAGAATCAGCTCTTTGGGCCACAAAGAGAGTCATTTAGTGGATGAATTCGTTGACTCATGCTGAGAACATCCTCTTCCTCGTTTTTGGAAACACGAAAGCCAGAAATGATGAGGGAGAAGCAAACAATGGCTGGGGTAAACAAAAGAATGAGGCTAAAGGGCACCATCCAAAGTTGTCTATTTGTTGGATGGTATTTGTGTAGCCACCACCCAAGCAAAGAGCCTCCTATTGTGCTTATCAACAAAGATGAGATGAAAACCACCAAGTAATATGACTTTGTTAACCCTTGGTTTTCCTTGTACTCATACTCTCCATTTTCCACTCCTTTAGGTGTTCCCATCTAATTGAAGACCCTTCAACAACACCCTTGTCCTGAAATTGAAAATAAAATGTTCACAATTGCTAGGGAGGGATAAAGATAGCATCAAAACATAAAGGTGTTTAGTGCTATCACCTGTGAAGAAGACATCTATTGTTTAAGGTAAGAATCATAAGCTGTTAAAACTACCTAAATATTGTACATGAAAATTAGAAAAAAACAAAAAACCTTGCCTTCAAGTGCTAAGGAAGAAGCAGAAGCTGAATTGTGATGAAGGAGGTGGTAGATTTGATGTGTTAAGGAGAATGGGACAGAGGAGAGAAAAATAGGTGGTGAGGAGCATGAGCTAGGGGATTTTGTGAGTGGAAGTTATAGAAGTTAGTACTGAGGCATAGTTATGAGGGCCATTGGGGTCTTTAGCTTTTAAACAAGTTTGTTATCATGTATTAAATACTAAAAAAATAGGGAAATATTGCATGTGTCTCAAGTATTGACGCTGATTCATGAGGTGGCGTTCAATGGGGTGTAAAGGAACTGATATTTTTGATCCCTAGTAAATGAATGGAATTGGTTTTCAAAATTCAAGACAACTGTTTTGTTTGTTGGGATACTACAGAGGTACAGGCCTTCTGCAGAGGTGGCTCACAATTTTAATTTTGGGCCCCAAAAACTACTCTCTTTAAGGTGAAGCGTAGATAAAGTATGAACACACAAACTAAGTTTTAGTTTTGAATTAGAGTGATATAAATGAGAAAAAAAGAAGAAGAGAATTCCATTAAAGTTTTTTAACAAAAATTAGTCCTTAATAAAACCTATATATATATACTCTTGTCAATGACATGAAACATGCAATGATGCAAGTAGCATAAACAATGAATACTAACTAGTTGAAAAATAAAAATATGAAACATGCAAGTAGCATAAACAATGAATAATTAACTAGTTATCTGATTGAAATGGTTTACTATTTATGAGAGAAAACTGATATGGGATAGTTAATCAGAATAAAGGTAATATTTAATTCTGGCAGCACAGTGGAAGAATCTAGGGAAGGTTGGGTCACACGACTCCGTTCCTTTCTGCCTGCGTCTGCTTTCTTTGAGGTTCCCCAGTTGCAACGAAATGGCATTGGGTTGGAATTTTCGTATAAAACATAACGAAGAGGTGGAGGAAAGTTTGGGACCGGTGCATTGATAACATCATCGTTATTATATATAAACAATTGGAAAGTTCGTGTTGTTGGGCGAGGCATCACGTGACATATATATATTATTATAGGTGTTAGCTTTATTTTGTGATAGTTGCTGGCATGAAATAACAAGTGTATTTAAGGTTTAATGGTCTGGTGTAGGGCGAAAGCATGTCATAGTTAGCGTTGGATTGTAGCAGTTACTAAATCTTCAATCCGTACTTAATCCACATCAAATATTAGGTAACTTTATGTACGGCACAATTCAGCAACAGCAAGAAGGGATGTTTCTTTCTCTCATCTTAATTTAAGTACAGCCCAATAATTAGCCCAAAGGCCTAGCTGGAATCTCAGACCTAAAGCCTGAACTACATGTGACATGCAGGTGCCTACATATATAGCTAGGAAATTAACATGTTATCTTTATTTTTTTTTTCTATTTCGATGCTGTCATTATTGTAAGGTTTTTCTGCCTTCCAAATACCGGTTATGAAAAATAATGATTTCACAATTGGGTGAGGAACATGCACTTAATTAATAGCGAATTGCACAAATTATTTATTCTCAAAATGAGCCAATTTTTAAAAATTTGTGGACATGAATATGTTATGCATTTAGATATGATTTTATATGAAGAAGTAGTGAGATGAATTTACCTTCTTTAAACAAAAGTCATGTACATATATGTACATATATGCAGGACTTATTCATATTTTATTTTTAAGTGATACATAAATACATGAGTTTAATAAGATTTTTTTATTGAAATTATTTTTAAATGATGACTTTAATTGGATTTATTTTTTTAATATTAATTTTTTTATATTGAAATAGTTAATTGATTAATAATTTTACTTAATATATTTTAATTTTTTTATTTTTACTAAATAAAAATTTGATTCTAATGTTTATTAAAATAAAAAATAATTTTTAAATATATTAAATTGTTGAAAATAAAATGTAATATGTTAAATAAAAGAAAAATACACATTAAAAAAAAGTAAACATATATTAAAAAATACAATAATAATGATATGAACTTTTTCTACATTGTGGTATTTTAATATTGTGTTTTGACTTTTATCTTCAGATAAACACTTGTTTTGACGATCATATGAAACTGTATGATGTTTATGTAGGTACAATAGGACCTAGTTCAGCTAACTCGACAATTTGTTACATTGGCTTGACCGATCTTTCAATTATCGACTTGTTGTGTTTTAAAACTTCTTGGCTCCAAACTTTCGAGCTTTCTACCAGTTGAATTGTCATCTTCCCGAACATTTCAAGTTCATTCCATCCTTTATCCCGATCATCCACATTTTCACACTAGTAACTGTCCATGTGGTTGATACCAAATTGAAATTGGTCATCTTGAACTTATTTAGGATACCTTTGCATACGCCTCTTAGGACAAACATATTCCTGACTAATCCTCGCCTTTCTTCAAGTGGTTGTTCAACATACACTTTCTTTAGCACACTATTTAGAAATGTTGACTTCACATCCACTTGCTTCACACCAACAACTTAGTCATAACTCTGCAATTTGGTCATCACCAACATGTCATTCTTTTCTCAGATCTTCTCATCCATAACAACTCGATTCTTCTCTTCAATTATAGCTCGGACCTTCTTGTCCATAACAACTTGGATTTTCTCCTCAATTTCAACTTGGATCTTCTCTTCTTCAAGAACAATTTGAACTTTCTCGTCTACAAGAGTTTGAACCTTCTTTTCCATAATAACTTGGACCATTTTGTCCATAACAGCTCGAATATGGTCACCAACCACTCATTCGCAAACTCCCCCCTCCATGCTCAGCAATCCGAGCATCACACCTTCACAAATTTTTCCCTCCATGTTCAACAATTGGAGCACCACGCTCTTCATGTTTTTCTTCAACTTCACAGTTATTTCTTCCTTCTCAATTTTCGAATTAGCTATTACTAGTGGTGTAACAACTCGACCTACTTTTGAGGTGACAACAACTGGTATTGCAATAGCTCGGTCTCCTTTCGATTTGACAATAACTACAGGTACAACAACTTGTCCTACTTGGTCTCCTTCCGATTGTTCCCACTTCCATTCACTTGCATCACCAACTCAGACAATATCATTATTATCATAATGAATTGACTATGTTAAACCACAAAAATACATGTGACCAGATCTTTAATTTTCCTTCAATGTGTCCTCTACATTTGATTTCAAACTCTTCTCCCGAATGCTTCTCAGTTGCAAATTGTACATTCTATTCGTTTTCATCTCTACTTGAACAATCAACCTTCCAAACTTGTTCCTCAATTATAATATTCGGTCTTTCATGAAAATTGAGTATCCTCTCTCCATTAGTTGCCCCATACTCAAAAAATTACTCTTGAGATTTGGAACATATAACACATCTGCAATTGACCCGATTAGGTCATCATTCTGCAAGAAACAAATAGTATCTCGACATTTTATCGAGACTCCTGAGCTATCTCCAAACAAAATATGATCGCCCTCAAATTTCTCCAATTTTCTAAATAGGTGTTCATCCTCACACATATGGTTACTTGCACCCATATCCAAATATTGTATCGACATTTGATCGGTATCGGACCTATCGGTATGTGATACCAAATCCATGGGAGGTGTGTTTGATTATGTCCTGATGGCAGTGTCATTAAAGTGGTGGCAAACATATTTGATGAAGATGGAAACACATTATATATGTAAGGGACTTGTCAAAACTGAAATTTACCTGATATATTTTGGAGTTAGCCCATATATCTGTAAAATGAAGGTGGTTGAAAAGCCTATGAACCAACTTGTGGATATGTGGTTTGTGATGTGAATTGTTAAAAAGTTTCTTAATCGTGTTGTTGTGTTTGATATTCCTGTGGTGCATCATACTGAAAAAACAAAAAAATATGTAAAATTAGTATTAATAAAAATATTGTGATATATTTAATATGTTATACTTATTTTATCATTTTTATCTTTTGACTGCTGAGGAGAAATTATCGTATAGTATGTTGTAAATACTATTGCATGTATTATGTATTTTCACGTAAACGACCGTTTCTGTGTGATAACAACATTTTAGTCGCACAAAATACTAATAAAACATAATAAACAAGTCGCTAAACTAATACGAGTATAGCTAACCCAGTATCGAATCTCACAAAGACACAATTATAAGAACATACTCATTATCACATATCATTATCTCCGAAACAAGTAAATAACGAGTGAATATGGGGGTGAATGAAAGAGTGAAAAAGAAATAATTGATGCAGAATAATAAAAATTAAAATCAAATTGTTATAAAATATTAACGACAAATAAAATTAAACGGAAACAAAATTTAAATAAATGAAATTTACAAAATTAAAATAAAGTGCTTTTAATTAAAAAGTAAAAGAATTAAGAATTATTTGAAATAAAATTATGCAGTAATTAAATTTGAAATTTTTGAAAGTGATATCTCTAAAACTAAATTTTGATTTGGAATTGGAAACGAGACAAATTGAAAATGAAAATTATGCAATACTAGAATAAAAATTCTAAACAATTTAATAATAGAAATTAAAATGAGCATTAAATAAATAAAATAATTAGAGCAACATAAACTGGAAAATTTAATAGAAATTGCAAAATTAAATAAAAGAGAACAAACCGGAAATGTAGTAGCAGTAGATGAACTCGCATAACTAAAAACTAAATTATGAACTGAGAGTAGGAGAAGAAAATGAGGATAAGACAAAACAACAATTCTCACTCCAGGTTAGGAGATTGTGATTGTGGGTTGTTGTAAAACCTTTATTTATAGGGGTTTGAACAAGAGA